TAGGGAAAGGGACCTCTTGATATTCTCTGCTTTTATTTGGAAGACATCATATCTGTCCTTACAAAACCTTTAAGAAACGTGACCAGGAGCTTCCCAAGGCTAGGACTTGAGAGTCGAGAGGATTTGGATGGGCAGACAGGAAAAGGCATCAAAGGGTGGAGGAGCTGAAGAGGCAAAGGTGGAGAAGTAAGACTGAGAGTTAGACCATTTGGGGGGCAGTGAGGAGCAGGCAGGCTGGACTGGCAGGCTCTTGTTGAGAATGGTGGGGAATAAGCCTGGCTGGATGAGGACTTTTCCCCCTATGGAATAAGGATTCCATGGAGATTTTGACCAGGAGAGTGTTATGGATGGGACAGGAAATGGGGGGGGGGGAGGTAGAGGTAGGTCAGCTGACCCAGGTGGGGGAATGGTCATAGCACATTGCCAGGACATTGGCACACCTGTGTCTCCTTTAATTCATTTCCAGGTGACCATGAAAGAACTCAGACTTTGTCGTCATCCCAACCCAAGTCCCACCCTGGCTCAGCAACTTGTCCCTTTGGGACCCTGGCCAGGTCACCTCAGTTCTCTGAGCCTGAGTGTCTGGGGCAGGCACTGTGAAATGTCCCCCCAAATTCAGTTTCCCCATCTTACGTAGTAAGAATATCAGGACCACCCTATTAAAGGCTCATTACCCAGCCTCCCTTGAAGGTAGCTGTAACCATGTGGCTACATCTGGCCAATGGGATGTGAGGCAAAATGATCACCACTTCCTGGTCATACAAACAAATGAATAAATGACAGATGCGTGATCCAGTGAAGAGGTAAAGTTGCAGCAAAGGATGAATGCCTTCAGCAAGTATTGCACTGAGCACCTGCTATGTGTCAGGCTCTTTCTAGGTGCTGAGGATACAGCAGTGAGCAAAATTGTTGAAGTGCCTATTCTCATGGGGCTGAGTGGAATGAGTAGAACACAAAAGATGCAAGTAAACAAGATGGCTTAGGGAGTCTGTACCCAGAGGGGCAGAAGAAACATAAAGCTGGTAGGAGGTGAGTGTGGGGAGGGACTGCTTTAGACAGGGCAGTCAGGGAAGGCTTCTTGGAGGAGGTGACATCTGAGCCAAGGCCTGGATGAAGAGGGCAAGCAAGTCATGGGTTTCTAGAAGGAAGAGGGCCCTGGGGAAGTGAGAGTTAGCTGGGGTGGCTGGAGCCGAGTGATGGAGGGGAGGGCGGGGAATGAGCCAGGGACCACCAGTTCTTCTCTCTCCAGACCCAGGGGAGCTGAGCAGCGAGGAGGCCGAGGAACTGCAGCGGATCAAATGGCATCGGAAGCAGCTTCTGGAGGACATCCAGGTGTGCTCACACTCACGCTCACAAATACACATGCTCTTGTCCACCCACACGTTCATGCTGACACACCCTCAAACCACACATACCCACAAGCAAGCAGTCATACACATTCGCACACCTCCTGACCCAGCCTGGGCCAAGAGCGGGGCCAGATTCCAGCCCACATGTAGCCTCAGCCCCAGCCCCCAGGAGTGGGGAGAACAGAATTCCCAGGGGAGTCCCCACTCCTGGGTTCAGCTGCTAGGGCTCAGAGAGAGCCAGGAGAGCAGGGGAGAGAAAGGGAACCATCAGTTCAGCACCTACTATGTGCAGAGCCCCACCTGTATGGCCTCAGTCTGGTCTCATCTCCAACCCGGACCTCAGATTCATCCCCCCGAAAATGTAGACCATTTGGTCAAGATAACACCATTATCTGCCCAGCACTTGTCAGTTCACCAGTTTCTCAGACATTAGCTCATCTGATTCTCAGCAACCTTCTGAAACAGGCCCTGCTTCTGCTCCTGGAATGTGCCACCATGCTCGGTCCTGCCCCCGGGCCTTTGCACTCACAGTCCCCTCTGCCTGAGACTCTCCTAATCCCTCCTCATGGCCCCTTCTCCTCCTGGTTCATTCTCAGCCCAAATGCCTCTCCTTCTAGGGGCCGCCCTGTCCACTCTGGCTGTAGTTGGTGGGACCCCACTTCCCATCCCAATGCATGTACACCTAGGATTCCAGAGAAAGACGAAGGCACAAGATAACTCCCTCAGCAAGTACTTACCATGTGCCAGGCTCTTTCTAGACCATTACTCTGACCATTTTCTGCATGGTCATTCCATTTGCCCCATGATCCAAAGTCCAGTGGAGTGAGCTCCATGTAAGGAGAACCTGGGTCTGTTTCCCACCACTATATCCCGCGTCCAATAGAGCATAGTAGGTACTCAGTTAACACTTACGAGCGAACCTTCATTTTATTTGTGGGGAAGCCACTCAGTGACTTGGCCAAGTTCACATGGACAGGAGCTGACTGGGCTCAGAAAGAGGCTCCAGGCCCCATGCTGCTCCTGGGCCCCAGGACAAAGCCCTATTAGGACTACCCCCATCCCAAAGATCTTGAGGGAGGTGAGGGAAGGCTGGGGTGCCTTTGGGGGCTCTTGCTGCTGCCACTGAGTTAGGGAGTCTCCTCTGCCACTGCGCACCTCCCGCCAGGTCAAGATGGAAAAGGCTTGGGGGGTGTCAGGGAAAGCAGAGGCTTGGAGTCAGATGCTGGACATGTCCCTTCACCTCTCTGGGCCTTCGTGTCCTTTTCTGTAAATTTCACTGGAATTGCAAAGTCCCTGAGAAGAGGTCCTGTGCCGTCTTGTACCCTGTTGACCCATAGCACCTGGCTCATAGTGGCCACAGAGTCTAGGGAGCAGGACAGGGTCAATGGATGGATGGAGGGAAACCAGAGAGGAGCTGGGGCCTGATCATTGGGTGAGAGTTTGTACCTCCTGCCTGGAGAGGCAGTAAGGAGCCATGGATGGAGTTTGGGTGGAAAAAGGGCCAGCACCAAGCTGTGCTTCAGAAAGATGGCAGCTGGGCAGAGGAGGGCTTGTCGGGAAGCTTTGGCTCAAGGGTAGGACACTTTTCAGCTGCAGAGGTGAGAGATGGGAAGACCAGAAATAGAGTGGGGGAAAGGCTAGGGACTGGGGACTCCCTCACCCCACGAGAGGAGCCCCAGGAGAACTAGGGATAAACAGAGGCAAGAAGTTTGGCTTGGGATTTTGAGGATATGAGATATTCGGGAAAGGGATCCACCAGGGGGAGGGTCCCTTAGTGGCAGCTCAAGACAGAGGTTTGGGAATCACATCCGGAAGTGGGAATGGCTGTGTTTGGGGGGAGGCGGGGTCGTGAAGCCCTTTCTGTCCCAGGCTCCGCCCCCTGACTCTACCTCCCCACCCCACAGAAGCTGAAGGAAGAGATCGAAGATGTGTTTGCTCAAATCGACTGCTTCGAGACAGCAGAGGAGAGGTGAGGGGCCCGGCAGGGGACCCTGGGAAGCTGCCACAGTGGCTTCCTGAGGACGTCACATGCCATGAGTGAGAGTGAATGAGCCCGGGCCCTGCTGAAATCAGGGGTCGGACCCCCAGAGGGGAGGCATAGGGGGGTGAAATAGTAACAGGGCGGCCCTGACACTCCATCCCGTGGTCTGGTCTGGTCCTTGCTTCCAGCAACCCCTCTCTTCAGCAGCAACCCCGTTCTCCCACCTCCTCCACCCAAAGTCTCTCCCAACCCACCCTGACCCAGCCCCTGACCAATCGCTGGCCAGGAGCATCCTGGGTTGGGCCAGGGAGAGGGGGATTTCAGCCCCAAGTATGAGGATAAGGAAGCCAGGGGCCTTACGGGGACAGGAGCCTGGCCTGTGGCAAGGCCGAGGCTGGTCCACCTCACTCCACCCGTAAGGTGTCATCACCCCACCCCTTCTGTAGGAAGACTGCCCCTGGCTCTGTGACCTGCGGTCGGTCCTCCCCTCACTGGGCCTCAGTTTCCCCACTTGTACAATGAGAAGGTTGGTCCCTACATAATCCCCTAGGGCCCCAGGGTACTGACTCCTCCATACGGTGTCCCAGGAGATCCCCCCCCTGCCCCTGCCAGCCTTCAGTTCTCTGATGCCTCTGATCTCACCTTCCTAGCCCGGACACATGCACGCACTCAACGCCTGCATACACACGTTCACTGCCCCCGTGTCTCCAGCCCCAACAGTGACAACAACATAACATTTACACGGCACCTAACACTAGCTATTTTCAATGCTTTAACCTTTCAACAATGCTTGGGGGCAGGTAGTAGAGTCGCCGCATGCTACAGATGAGGAAACTGAGTCCCAGAGAGATGAGTGTGATTTGCACCAGAAGCCTGGCTCCAAAGCCTGTGCTCTCACCCACGACCTCCCTGTTATCTTGCTCCCCCTCTAAGCACAGGGCCCCTCTAAATCCCCCCCAGGAGCATCTGTGGCTCCTGAGGCTACAGCTCCAGAGCTGGGCCCATTGGAAATACAGTCTTGTAGCTCAGGAAGGGGCCCAAACCCTGCATTTCTCACGTTCTCCTCGGTGATTCCAGCCCCACTTGGAGGCCCTTAGGGAATACTGGCTCTAGCTGAGGAAAGCGTCCTCGGGGATTGGAGGGGTGTCCTGGGGTCCGGGGGCGTCCAGGCTGATGTCTTCCTGTCTACAGCCGCATGGCCCAGAAAGAGAAGGAGCTGGGCATCGGGCGCAAGAAATTCAACATGGATCCCGTGAAGGTAGGCAGTGCGGGGGCCGAGTCAGGGGGCCGGGAGAGCTGCATGCTGGGGCCCTCCACGATGTCCTCTTGTTCCCCCTCAACTGACACAATTACCCAGTTTACAGATGAGGAAATTGAAGCCCCGCCTGGCTCAGCATCTTATCCTGCGCCCCACGCCTGTTATGGCTGGGGGCTCTGCCACCCCACAGCATAGTAGCCCCAGGGCATGAAGTGGGAGCCAGGAGGATGCAGTGGGGTCTGTGATGTCTGTCCCCCGCTCTGTGAGTTGGACTTTGGGCAGTGGGGCCCTTAAACTCTGGGACTCAGTCTCCAGAAGTGTCTTCCAGCCCCTCGGCTGGGGAGCCAGTCCTGGGACGCTGGCGTGGAGCCCTGAGTGCTCAGGGCTCAGCTACGCTCTAACCCCACCCCCACTGGCCTCAGAGCACCCCCAGTCCCCACCCCTCGCCCAGCCAGGTGGCCCTGGGCTCCTTTCCTGTAGGAGCCGGGACAGGAGGAAGCCACAAGTTGACACACGGGGGTGGGGTCAGGGAAGCAACGGGGAACCTGGAAATTTACTGCTCTCGCTTAGAAGGTTGCCTCTTCCCCATCACAGGCCTCCCGTGTCCCAGTGGCACCTGGCAATCAACGCCTGCCCCCATCCACACGGACCACACAGACCACACACACGCGCGCGCGCGCGCGCGCGCGCGCGCGCATGCACGCGCTACCTCACTTCCTACCTGATCCTGCCTGAGCTCCCCTCAGGGAGGGGCCACTGAGGGGTCCCCTGGGCCATCTGCCTGTCACTCAGAGCCCTCCACAACCTGTCCCCCCTCTCCCAGCAGCCTCTTCTCCAAAAGGAATAGGGGCTCGAAGGCATCATCACAGAAAACCAGACACCAACCCCTCAAACTCCTAAAATTAGATGATAGACTTCGAGTGCCTGGGTTGTGGGGAGAGATGTCTGAGATATTGTCAAATCGGAAAATCGGGCGAGGCACACTCCCATTTTCACACAGAAAAGGGAGGAAAGGACCACCAGGGAAACTGTCTACCTCCAAGTGGTAGGACTGAGCAATTTCCTCTCCTTTTGACTGAGCAGTATTTTTCTAATTTTTTTGTTTGTTTGTTTGTTTGTTTGCGGTACGCGGGCCTCTCACTGTTGTGGCCTCTCCCGTTGCGGAGCACAGGCTCCGGACGCACAGCCTTAGCGGCCATGGCTCACGGGCCCAGCCGCTCCGCGGCATGTGGGATCTTCGCGGACCGGGGCACGAACTCGTGTCCCCTGCATCGGCAGGCAGACTCTCAACCACTGCGCCACCAGGGAAGCCCTCTAATTTTTATACAATGGACATAGATTACTTATAAGAAAAAATGAAACACTATGTTTAAATAATATGAATTTTAAGGGGGACAAAAGGAAGGGTGAATCATTCAATCTTAAAATTATAAATTCATAGAATCATCAAAGCATATCATCAAAGAGTGTCAGACTGCAGGGCACCCTGGGGAGCACCTGGCATGAACCTGGTTCATGGCAGGAACCCCATCTCTCTTTGCACGTCTCTGCTGATGGGGAACTCACCACCTTACAAAGGCAACTTCTATTAAGGAGGGAACACAGCTTCCCAGAAAAAGCTGTGCCAATGCTAGAATGCCAGGCCCAAGGCTCTGGCCACAGGGGCTCTCTCCCTCACTCCTCCCAGGCCAGCTGCTGGGCGGGGCTACTCACGGGCTCTGTGTACCACCTCTAGGGCATCCAGTATCTCACTGAGCACAAGCTGCTGACCCCTGATGTCCAGGATATCGCCCAGTTCTTGTACAAGGGCGAGGGCCTCAACAAGACGGCCATCGGCACCTACTTGGGGGAGAGGTAAGGAGGGCGGGGCCTTAGGGAGGCAGAGAATGAGGGTGTGCAGGTGTGCACAAGTGTGGGTGAGGGGATTGTGTGTGCAGGTAAGTAAGGGAATGAGTCATATTAGGAAAGTCATAACTCCTGGGGTTCAGTGGCCTAACTGATCACGCCCCTCCAGACCCTGAACCAAGGGCTGCCTGCCTGCCTTCATTCCTTCCTTCACTCATTTAGAAAACAAGTAGATATTTTTAGTATCTACCATGTACCAGGCAGTGTTCCAAGCCCTGGATTTATACCAGTGAACAAGATAGACAAAACTCCTGGTCGGGGGGGGGCGGACAGGGGGATTAAATTGGGAGTATGGGATTAACAGATGCACACTACCATATATAATAGATAAACAACAAGGATTTACTGTGTAGTACAGGGAACTATATTCAATATCCTGTAATAAACTATAATGGGAAAGAACTGAAAAAAAGAATACAGATATATACATATACATGTATAACCGAATCACTTTGCTGTGCACCTGAAAATGACACTGTTGTAAATCAAATATACGTCAGTTAAAAAAAACACAAACCACTGGATGTCCAGTGGTTAGGACTCGGCACTTTCACTTCCATGGGCCTGGGTTCAACCCTGGTCGGGGAACTAAGAGCCCACAAGTCACGCAGCATAGCCAAAAACAAAAACAAAACAAAATCAAAAAACTCCTGCCCTCAAGGAGGTACATTCTAACGGGGAAGACAGATCCCAAAATATGTAAAATAAGTTAGAAAATTATAAGTTCTTCGGAATACAAATAAAGCAGGGAAGGGAGATGAGAAAGTTCTGGGAACCATGCTTCGAAGGCTGTGGACTTTAAATCGTGTGGACGCAAAGGGTCTCACAGAGAAGGTGAACTTTGACTGAAATTTAAAGGAGGTGAGCCGTGCAGCTCTGGGGGAAGAGCATTTCAGGCAGAGGGAACAGTGTGTGCAAAGGCCCTGGGGCAGAAGCTGCTTAAAGAACAGCAGGCTAGTGAGACTGGAAGAGAGAGAGGAAGGGAGAAAGTAGTAGGTGACAAGGTGGGGATCCCTGAGAGGGTTCTGGGCAGAGGAGTGGTCTGAGGGGACCCTTCTGGCTGCTGGGTGGCAGACAGACTATAGGGGACAGGTGTGGAGCTGGGCCAACAAGCCAGGAACCCTTCCCCCAGGCTCCCCAGAGGACACTCTCCTTCTAAGCAAGCAGGGAACCCAGGTGGCAAGAAGGGCAGCACTTTCTGATTTCAGATCTGGGAAGGGGAAGGAAAAGGGGGTGGGCATTTTCTCTTGATTTTACAGATGTGGACACTGGGGCTTGGGGAGGTCAAGTGGCTTGTGTGGGGTCACCCATGAAGGAAGTGACAGAGGAAGGATTTGGCTCAGGGCAGGCCGCTCTGAAACCAGAACTCCCCTCCTGGGTGAGGACAGTGCTGGTGAGCCGTCGGGGGGTGCGGCGTCTGCTGTGTGGGGGGGGACATGGACATACACACGGGGGCGGGGGGACTGTGATGTGGGCTCAGACAGATGTGAACAGACCAGATGGTGGCTGGATTCAGAAGGAGGACATCTCTCCCCTCCGTGGCCTCCCCCACCTCGACCGCCCCCCGGAGGTGGGTGCCAGCAAATGCCCAAGTGTGTCCCGCCCTCCCTTCTGCCTCCTCGCCAGGGACCCCATCAACCTGCAGGTCCTCCAGGCCTTCGTAGATTGCCACGAGTTCGCCAACCTCAACCTTGTCCAGGCCCTCAGGTGAGTGGTCCAGGGGGCAGGGGCCTGCCCCCCGAGGGTGGCACGGCAGGAAGGGTTGGGGCATCACCATCCACATGGCTAACAGCACAAACAAAGCATCAGGGGAAAGAATGAAGGAACTCCTTGGCAGTCCAGTGGTTAGGACTCAGCGCTTTCATTACTGAGGGCCCGGGAACTAAAATCCTGCAAGCTGCGTGGTGTGGGCAAAAAAAAATTTTTTAATAAATAAATAAACTTAATTAATGACATTATCCCCCACATAGAGCTGAGGTTAGATGAGATAATAGGTGTGGACTGCCTGGATCAGTACCCGGCTCGTTACTACTATTATTATATTACATCATTATTATAATAATATTTAATCATAATCATTATTACTATTAAGATACCATTCCCATCCCACTGCTCTTTGGATTAGTGCTTGTTTTACTTATTTTTTTAATGCAGCTTAGTGTGTACTGCATTTATTATTACTTATTATTTTCTAATTAGGATATTATTGTTGCTACTCCTTTTTACAACAATGGGAGGCATTACAGTATATGCATTAGGAGCACAAGCTCTGGAGCCAGACTGCTCAGTTCATATCTTATCTCTGCTACTCACCCCTTGGGAAAATCACACACACACACACACACACACACACACACACACACACACACACAGACCTCGTAAGATTTATTCCTTCTCTACAATGACTGTTCAACATATGCAAATCAATAAATATGATACACCATATTAATAGAATGAAAGACAAAAATCATTATCTCAATAGATACAGAAAAAGCATCTGACAAAATACAAAATCTTTTCATATAAAAACTCTCACCAAACTGAGTACAGGGCTTCCCTGGTGGCGCAGTGGTTGAGAGTCCACCTGCCGATGCAGGGGACACGGGCTCATGCCCCAGTCCAGGAGGATCCCACATGCCGTGGAGTGGCTGGGCCCGTTGGCCATGGTCGCTGAGCCTGCGCGTCCGGAGCCTGTGCTCCACGACAGGAGAGGCCACAACAGTGAGAGGCCCGCGTACCGCAAAGAAAAAAAAACACAAAAAACAAACCTCTCCGTGCCTCAGTTTCTTCATCTGTAAAATGTGGATACTAACAGTACCAACCTCATAGGGTGGTGAGGACTAAATGAGAAAATGCTTAGAATTGGTCCACCGTCAGTGCTTAGTAAGTCTTGCTGCTGCAGATGATGCCTGGAAAATCAGCTCGTGAGTGGGGGCATTTGTTCTGGGCTTTGATGGATGATTAGGAGTTTGCTAGGCAGAGAAGGAAGAAGCCACCACCATCTAAGCAATGTGGCCTTCCCTTTAACTCCCATGCTTTTTAAAGGAGAGGGGTAGGTTGGGAGTCTCCAACATTCATTTGTTCATTTATTCACCTGTTCATTCTTTCACTCATTCAGCTAGCCTTTACTGAGCAGTTACTGGCTGTCCCAGCTCACCAGGAGATGTGAGAGGAGCAGGCACTGCCCTTGCCCTTGGGGAACTTAGTTGGAAGCTGGGGAAATCATTTACTTCTAAGAAAGGGATGCCCAGCCAAGGGAAGACACTCCCCCAGGGTCCCACAGTCAAATCCCAGGGCCCAGTGGCCAGGCGGCGAGGGGCCTCAGAACCCGGGAATCGACAGGGCTAAGGTGGACTGGGCCGCAAATGGTGCTGGGTCTCAAATGGGCAGAGGGGTGTGCCCGCTCAGCTCCTGTATTCTAGAAGAAAAAGCATTTCTTGGATCCCTCCTGCAGTCTTGGTGCTCAGAATAACAAATTCCACTGACACCGCCCCCCCCATGAGCCTAGAAGACAGGTGCAGAGTCTCCCATTTACAGGATAAAAGAGACTAAGCCTGGGAAACACAGAGCAGCTTATGGGGTGGGGGGATGGAGTACCCCTTAAGCCCCCTCTTAGAGCCTCCCCCACCTCCACTGCCCATGGTTCTGTTCTTCCCCCAGACAATTCCTGTGGAGCTTCCGACTGCCAGGCGAGGCCCAGAAGATCGACCGCATGATGGAGAGCTTTGCCACCCGATACTGCCTCTGCAACCCAGGTGTCTTCCAATCCACAGGTGCCAGTGTGGGAGGGGACCCTGCCAGACACAAATCTGCCTTCCAAGGCACCTCGGCCTCTCTACCCCCTCAGGTCTCTCCCAAGCACCCAGACGCTGGGAGCCCAGATCCCCTCATGAACCCTCACTGAGTTCCAACTCTGTGCCAGGCCCTCTGCTGGGTGCTTGTCAGGCAGAGCTGCCTCGGGGCATGATCCTTGGGAGAGAAGGCAGGAAATAATGGCACAGGGTGCTAAGACATCAGTGCCTCATCTGAGGGCAGGGATGGGGGAACTCAGCGTGTCCAGGCTGGCTTCCCAGAGGTCCTGAGGTCTGAATGGGGTTTTGAAGGATGAATAGGAGTTCTCCAGGAGGTCAAGGGGAGAAATGGCTTTTTGGACAGGAGTTCTAGTTTGAGCAAAGGCACAGAAGCATGAAACAGCCTGAGCAGGATGCAGGGCGCAAAGGGGTACAGAAAGATATCAGCAAAGCTCAGTCCCCCACATCCCCCAACATGGTGGGCGAAAAGTCATCATGGCAGGCTTGTCCTGGCCTCTTCTCTGGGTCTGAAGACAACATAGCAATAACCAAGTCCACATATTGAGCACTCCCCATGTGCTAAGTGCTTTACACGCAAAGTCATGTAAGCCTTACATTCACTCTACAAGGTCACCAGTGTTCTCATCCCTGCGGAACACAGACTCGGAGAAGTGAAGGGAGCTTTTCAGCAGTATATCCAGGGGCAAGTCCTACGGAGCATTTGCCTACCTTGTAGTTATATATAAATTAGGGATTTGCTTGTTTGTTATCTGTCAGCCCCACAAGTCTAAATATCTCACAAGGATGGGGACCAAACAGATTTTTTCACCAGTGAATCCCCATTCTGTAGCACTTAGGAGGTACACACTAAATATTTGTAGGAAGGAAGGAATTTTAAAGCACCAGATTTGAATCACAGTCTCATTACTTAATTTTGTGACCTTGGACATGTAAAGTCACTCTCCCTGTGTCTCAGTTTCCTAATCTGTAAAATGGTGGTGGTAACGGTGCCTAGCTCACAGTGTTGTCAAGGGCCGTAAAGAACTTAGCACGGGGGCAAGCAGCAACATTAGTGCCACTGCTACCAGAGGCAGAATCATCGATGCTCTAGGAGAGGAAGTGACTTCAAAGTTAAACCTCCTAATATTGCAGATGGGGAAGCTGAGGCTCTGGGAACCCAGGTACTTTCCAAGGTCAACCGGAGAGTTGGGGACACAGCTGGACTTCCCTGGCTCTGGACCCAGGACTTTAAAACATCATAGAGTAGCAATCACCTCCTTCCCAAACGCTCAGCCCAACCTCGCTCCTGAGCACATGGAAGTCTGAATAATGGAACAGGAGCGTGGCTCCGGGAGCCCCACAGTGCTAATAAGATTACCAAGTGGCACGTGACAAAGCCCTGAACAGTGTTGCCAACAATAAGCAACCTCTGAGTTCCAAGAAGGCAGAGAACAGAGTGGGCAGGAGAGCTGGGAGGGCTGCGGGGGGG